TTCTCTTAGCGCGAGACAAGGAGAACAGTGGGGAGGTGAGAAAAAGGCACGAGCTGTTCACCTGCTAAAACACCACGCGGAAATAAGTTCGAAATAGGAAGTATGAAAACTGTCATTTGACACCATCATAATCCAGGTAAGCTGGATCATTCGAGGGTAAGAATCGACATCTGTGCTGCATGACTATGTCTGCCCATTTCACCAGATTTTAAAGACTTATGTTTTGTAAATGCACAAATTTGATGCAATTTCACACATAAAAACAAGTTTACAGATTCATTTCTGTTGCACTGTCAGTTGCAGCTGAGTTTTTGTGTATAAAAGTGCATTGATTTGATTAGAGGATCAATATAATCTGGAATTCTGTCAAATGTGAATTGGTATTTTTATGTTAATGCATCATTGTATACGATCAGAAAAAAGGTACAAAAGCTGTCACCATGGTGGTACCTTCTCAAAAAAGGTTCACCTTTGTACCATGTTTACCCCTAACTAGTGTATATTAGTACTTACCTAAATGGTACATTTTAGTCCTTTTTGAAAGTTTACCACCCTAGTGACAGCTTTTGTACCTTTTTTGAAAGAGTATTTATTGAGCACCATGTATAGGCTGTTTTTAAATCGTTGCTGATTGATTCAGAAGATCTATTATCTTCTCATCATCCCCAGTAAGAGCACAATGCTGACTCTTCCGTTTGAGGATCCTGTCATCATGGACACTCAATTCGGGGCTAACTTTCCACGGGACTGCGTGGGTGAAATGAAGGTCACTAAACAAGAGCCATTTAAAAAGGAGGAGACGCTCTCCCACACGATGGAGGATGAGAATTCAGAGAAGGATGAGGATGAACAGGAGGACGGACAGGACGCGAATGGTCTGCCTCGGAGGAGAGGGCCTCGGAAAAAGAAAATGACCAAAGCTAGGGTGGACCGGGTCAAGATGAGGCGCATGGAGGCCAACACCAGGGAGAGGAACCGAATGCACGGTCTGAACAACGCCCTGGACAGCCTGCGCAAGGTGGTGCCCTGCTACTCCAAAACCCAGAAACTGTCGAAAATCGAAACCCTGCGCATGGCCAAGAACTACATCTGGGCACTTTCCGAGATCCTGAGCACTGGGAAGAGGCCTGACCTCTTGACCTTCGTTCAGACCCTCTGCAAAGGGCTCTCGCAGCCCACCACCAACTTAGTGGCCGGATGCCTGCAGCTGAACGCCAGGAACTTCAT